GTGGGTGGGTGGGTGTGTGTGTGTGTGTGTGTGTGCGCGCATCTGGTTCTGGGGCTGGAGGAACCCAGCCCTGGGGAACCTAGTTCCTGCAGGATAGCTCCATTGGGAGTGGACTTGCAGAAGGGAGGAATAGAGCTCCATATGAAAACACAAGTGACACAAGCAGTACAGAATGGGCAAAACTGGTAACAAATGGTAAATAGGTTGACAACCACTGACCTAAACAGTTGAAGATTCTTGAGTCTTTTGACTATAAAGCATATTTCCCAATTCTTTAATCATTCTCATGACCTTTCTCTGAACCCTCTCAAATATATCAACATCCTTCCTGAATCCCCCCCATAATTTTTCCAACCCAAGAATTACATGATTGTGCTCATGCATGAGAGCCAGAAAGTGAAAGTGACTAAAAATAAAAGTGAAACTGACCAGTGCTTTTTGCTTACATAAGCTGAATGAACTGTAAAAATTAACAAAAGCCAAACATAATGAAGGTGAATTAGGTTTAAAAAGTTCTTTTAGTTTCAATAATCGAACAGTGATCACCATTAAGAAGTCAACATTTGCACAGTTACCAGACACTAGTATCTGAGAAGCCATAGTTATTTCTTATGCTTAGAAGGGGACAATGATTCTTAAGCTTCTTTAGCACAGAACACATTATAAAATGGATATTGTCTCATGAATATTTCCCAGCATTCACTGTCACTCAGGCCACCTGCCTTCCCATTCACAATTGTGCAGGTTATCTCTGTCACAGTTCAGGGCAACTGCATCTGTATTCCTCCCACCTGGTCCACCAACAGCACCCACTGCAGTTTCCCTGCTCCTCAGCCATCATCTCTCTTGGGCAGACCCCTGCATCTCTTTCCCTCCTGACCAGGGTTTTCCCCAGCTGCACTGTTTCCTGCCTACTCTGTGTTATCCATAGTAAACCAGTCTGCCTAAAAGGCCAGCATTGCACTTTGCTTTCTCTCCAGAGGCTATTAACAGTGTAATGTCCTGCAGTTATAAATTACCATACGGTTCTTTTTAAGCAAGTATTTATTCCTAATGTGAAAGTATTACAGAGCAACATATTACAAACCATAAAAGACACACGTTAAAAAGCTTACCAGAGTCACCCCCAACTCCAACATTGTGCTCTGGTAGGTGTCGGTCGTTCCAATCCTTCTGCAAGATTGGTCTCCCTGCCTTGGGCAGAACGAAAGCCCTGAGTCAGATTAAACTCAGGCTATTTATCCAAAAGTCCTTTCTTTGTCTGTTGGTCTCTGGAGAATCCAGTTTGAGTTAATACATACAAACATCTCCAGAAGCTGATACCTCTGTGTGGGGTGATGGGAAAGCGGTTACAACCTGCCTGATTTACCTTAGTCACCACCTGCTGTTTTTAGTTCCTGGAGGAGCTGTGGTAGCCTTCCCCCATGGCGTAGAACACAATCATATATAAACCATTCATTTAAAACAATGGATCCCATTGCAGTATCTGTCACATCTCCCCCCTAGAAAGGTTACATACAATCCCAACCCACAATAATACATACACTTAATACAATACAGTCTTTCAAGAATATTGCAGGAAATTTCCATATCTGTCACAACCTCTTCCCATGTCCGATTATATAATATCACTTTGGCAAATACTGAAAAATGCTTACATGATAAAGTTATATTAAGAAACTATTTAATGTATTTTTAGCATCTTTTAATGCTATTTATAAGCCAGAGATAATGAGGAGCAGCCAGCACCATTTGACCAACCAGCTCTCCACAGACCACCAACAAATGCTCCCTAGGCCATAATTTGAGAACCTCTGGAATAGGTGCAGTATCTTAGGTACTGCTGGGTAGTAACCCATGGGCAAATGTTAAATGATTGCAGTGCAGTCAGTAATCCATTCCATAATTGAGTAATCTGGGCCAAGATTTAGGGAGATCCTGTGTGGTGCAACTGTAGCGCCAGTTATGTTGGTCAGTCTGAGAGCTAGATAGTCAGGGGGCTAAGAATCGGTGTGTGTCGCCTTTCTGAATAAAAAGTGCCGTTTTCATTCACTGTAATTGAGTCCTGTCATACTTCTACCGTGAGGGACATTATGGTGGTGACCACTGACAATAGCATTATTTAAAAGAAAATGTATATGTTTAAACATATTGTTTTTAATCTGATGTGCCCTTATGAGTTCATGTATGCTGGCTGAGCTCAATTCTTTGCAAAGTGCCCTCATGCCTTTTGTTTCTGCTAAGAACAGGAATGTTATGTGGGTGGCTGCACAGGGAGGTTGTTGCTTAGTCAGGGTGGCTGCAAATGCATAGACACATAGATATAAGATCACTGATGCTAGGCCAGACCTTGTTATGCCTCTGCAAACCATAGAAATGTAGACCCGGAAGGGACTTTGATATGTTATCTAGTCCATTCTTCTGCACTGAGGCAGTACTAAGTATTATCTAGACCAGTGGTTATAAACCTGCGGGCCACTTGCAGCCCAATCAGCACACAGCTGCGGCGCATGTGACATCCTCAGTGTCATATAGGTAGTATATATATTGTGTGGATGAGGCCCACAAAACATATAGAGAGCTGCATATGCAGGCCACAAAGGTAAATAGGTTGAGAACCACTGATCTAAACCATCCTTGGCAGATATTTGTCTAATCTCGTCTTAAAACCTCCGATGACAGAGATTCCACAACCTTCCTAGGTAATTTGTTTCAGTGCTTAACTGCCCTTTCAGTTAGGAAGTTTTTCCTAATGTCTAACCTAAATCTCCTTTGCTACAATTTAAGCCTATTGCTTCTTGTCCTGTGCTCAGTGGGTAAGGGAACAATTTATCACCCTCCTCTTTATAACTACCTTTTTATATACTTGAAGACTGTTATCATGTCCTCCTTTAGTCTTCTCTTCTCCAGACTAAACACATCTAATTTGTTTTCAATCTTTCTTAGTAGGTCAAGTATTCTAGACCTTTAATCATTTTTGTTGCTCTCCTCTAGACTTTCTCCAGTTTGTCCACATGTTTCCCAAAGTGTGGTGCCCAGAACTGGACACAATATTCCAGTTGAGAACTTACCAGTGCTGAGTAGAGTGGAAGAATTACTTCATGTCTTGCTTACAACACTCCCGCTAATACATCCCAGAATGATGTTTGTCTTTTTTTGAAACAGTATTACATTGTTGATTCCTATTTAGTTGATGATCCACTGTCTCCTAGATCCTTTTCTGTACTACTCATTCCTAGACAGTTGTTTCCTAGTTTGTATTTATGTAATTGATTATTAATGTGAAGACCTACAGAGTAGTTGCTAACTTTTCACAGGATATTGGAAGTCAGCTTAATTTTGTATTCTGTCTGATGGTCATGGTTTTTCTATCATGTGATATTTCATCTCTGTATATCATTGGTGAGACCATTTCTAGAATATAGTGTCCATTTCTGATGTCCAGACTGTGAAAGGACATTGAAAAACTAGAAAGGATTCAGGAAAAAAAAAAGCTACAAGAATGATTTGAAGTCTGGAAAGTTTGACTTACAGAGAAGGACTAAAGAAGTTCAGTTTATTTATTTTATCCAAGGTTTAGAGGTGATTTGATTATGGTATAAAAGTATGCACGCAGGGAGAAGATTTCTGATAGTGGAGGACTCTTTAAATTGGCAGAAAAATCATAAGATCAATGCCAGGCAGTTGAAGGTTGAGAAATTCAGACTAGAAAAAAGGCTCTAATTTTTAGCAGTGAGGGTCATTAACCATTGGGACAATTTACCTACCAATGTGATAGATTCATTATCCCTTAAAGCCACTGGATGTGTTTCTAAAAGAGAGATTGTAGCTCACCAAGAAGGTATGTCTTGATAAAAGGATTAGTGGGTGGAATTCTCTAGTTTGCCTTATAGAGGAGGTTAGACTAGAAGATCTCCGGCCGGGGTTGCTGGGCTTGGGTCCGACCCGGAGCTGCGCCGCGGGGGCCGCGCCGCTTTGTGCACCAGGACTGGCTTTAGGAACTGCGGGGACCGATTTGAATACCCCGTGGCAGTCCGGGACTTTGGCGGGGGAGGGTCCTTCACTCGCTCCGGGTCTTCCGCAGCACTGAAGGATCCCCCGCCGCCGAAGACCGGGTCCGCCGCTGGGTGAGTAAAAAACATGAAAAAGGTGCCTTAGGCGCAGGGCATCGGGGGAATTGGCCTAAAGCCGGCCCTGTTGTGCACCACCACTGAACTGGTGTTAAATTCTAGAAGAATACAAAGGGCGTGTGTGAATAGTGTAGCTATCTTGTAGCCCCCAGCACTGTATGAATCCCCTGGCCCCACAAGAATGTAATTCAAGAAATAGCTTTTGCAAGAGCGCGGGACAAGGGCCATTTTTCTTGCAGCCCACAGCACTTTTTACAACTGCTGACCAACCACTAACGTTCAGAAGGGGAGCCTGCCCTGTTCTGCGGTCCCCACCTCGGTGTGTGTGTGTGTGTGTGTGTCCCACCCCAGCCTGCAAGCAACTCACGCGGCTATAGCGACTGCCCGGGCTTCCGACCTACACCTGCATCCCGGCCCCGGGGGTTTTGCAGCCCCTTCCCGGACCGCCGGAACAGACGCTGCAGGGGTGGGGGTGGGGTGTGTGTGTGTGTGTGTGTGGGGGGGGGGGGACAGCCATTCCCGCACCTGTTGCATTTCTCATCCAAGGGCCAACTGTGGCTGGAGGCTCGCGCCCAGCCCGCGAGCCCCATTGCGGACCGCAAGCCACCGCAGCCGGGAGGGGCTTCGCGCCCTGCCCCAGGCACACACGCGGCAGCCGGGGGGGGGAAGGCCGCATGCCTGCACCCCTGCAAAGACTGGACGTCATACGTGCGCGTGGGGCCGTACGCGGCGGCAGCCCCCCGCCCGGCTCTCCGAAGGGGCGGGCGCGGCCCCTTTAAGCCGGCGGGGAGCACTCACCTTGCCGCCCCCTTTAGGTACCAGCCCTGAGCCGGGCTGACTTCTGATTGGGCGGCCGCCGGGGCCGGTCACGTGGGGGCGGCTAGTCTCTCCACAGCCTCCAGGCCGCCATTTTGGTTGGAAAGTTTGGAATTTCCAGCGGAGCGAGGCGGCGGTGGGAGGGAGCGCGCGCGAGAGCAGCCCCCGCCGCGCGGCCGTGAGGGAATCTCGAGCGCCCGGGCCCCCTTCTCCCCCGGGGGGGATCCGAGAGGGTAGCCGCCGCCCGAGCTCCGAGGCGGCTGCCCCGTCCCGGCTCCGCTCCGGACCCCCGGGGTCTGGTCTCGTCCTGCCCTCGAGTGTGGGGGAAGGCTCCTCCGAGCCCGGCGGGACCGGGCAGAGCGCGGGCCGCCCCCGCCGCAGCCCTAGCCCGCGCTGTCGGGATCTGGCTGCCGGTCTTTGTCCCGCGCAAAGTTTGGGAGGGCGGTGGCCGGGCGCACCCTGCCCGAGCCGAGCGGCCGGAGTCCGGCTGTGCCTTACTCCCTGGGGTCGCTTCGGGCGCGGGCTGCTGCTGGGGAGCACCATGCCTGTCCGGAAGCAAGGTGAGACCCCGCTGCCCCCGCGCGGCGGGAACTCCGCCGGCCGCGTGCCGCTGCTGCGTCCCGCAAACTTTCTCCCAGCGCAGCCGCGTGGCGCTCGGTGCAGCGCGCGAGTCCCCGCGCTCGGGGCGTCGGAGTGACCCGAGCAGTTGTTCAAACTGGCGTTCTTTGACAGCTGCCCCTGCAAGCGGATGTGCTGCGCTCACTTCCCTGCTAATGCAAATGTTTGTTTAGTATGCGGGTGGTTTCACTTTTTAGTATTTTTCTTTCATGTAATACAGCGTCTGACCTGTGTTTGTACTGGGGAAATCTGTGTCAGCCAAGCAGAAATCTGCACATCCCCCTTTGTGCCTCTAAAGTTTGAAGCTGTGCAGATTGTTACTGAAATCCTTTGATCAGATGGAGTAGGCAGCTCTATAGTTTTATCAGATGTGCATGTGGGCAACGTAATTCTTTCATTAAAAAAACTGCTTTAGAAAAATCATCTGCCTTTTTGAAAAAAACACGTCAATTTATAAACTGGTAATAAAGAACTTCTGAGGAACTTGGCGGTTATTTAAGTTGGGGTTAATGAGGGTGTGATGTAAAGAATTGCTGTATGGACTAAAGTTGGTGCAGTTCTGATAGTTTTCCCCTTATGTTATGGTGGTGTTTAGTATTAATTTTTTGTTTTATTTTTGCTTGCAGATACCCAGCGAGCTCTGCGCCTCCTGGAGGAATACCGCTCCAAATTGAGCCAAAGTGAGGACAGACAGCTGAGAAACTCCATAGAGCGTGTCATTAGTATCTTCCAGAGCAACCTTTTCCAGGCTTTGATAGGTAGTTGTCAAAACTTTTTCTTATACTCTAATCCAGTTTTTGCTCGCAGCCTTAGGGCTGGTCCACACTGGAGCGGGGGATCGATATAGGAAACGCAACTTCAGCTACGAGAATAGCGTAGCTGAAGTAGACGTTTCCTATATCGAACTAAAAGTACTTACTTCGGGTCCACGCGGCGCAGGCAGGCTCCCCCGTCGACAGCGCTTCCTCCTCTCGGCGAGCAGGAGTTCTGCAGTCGACGGGGGAGCGCTTCTGGGATCGATCTATCGCGTCCAGATGAGACGCGATAAATCGATCCCAGAAGATCGATCTCTACCCGCCGAATTAGGCGGGTAGTGTGGACCAGCCCTTAGATATACATACTGGTATGATGGACAGCTTATAACAGGTACTTTTAGTGTGACTCTTGATGTAACAGATTTAAATGGAAAAGATTTAAATTACCAAGGTTCTGTTGTAGAAATGTAGGGGCAATCAGAATACGCAGAACTATGTTTTCAACATTTTCTTTAAAAGCACGCATGTACTTGTTGTTTTTTCCCTGCTTCTTTTCCTCTGACAAACCCTAGTCTTGCTTTGCGTTTGTCACATTAAAGAAAAGCTTGTGACAATGACCTCATCTTCATTGCCAACTTCCATTTCAGAAGTCCTCTACTAACACAAGTTTAAATTTCTGAATTGGAACAGTTCAGACCTTTTTCTTGTACTTCTCTTTGCTAGTCAGTTGGGGGCAGTCTATCTTGTGGTGAAAGGCTAAGCCAAGCTTTGAGGGACACATGTACCAAGGTTCATTAGTGGGTCAGACTTCTGAAGCTTTACACGTAGAGGCATTTGGGGTTATGCAATAAGTAAACCCTTTTGCACTTCTTCTCTGTAGTATTTTAATTGGAAGCCTTAGTATTGGCTAGCAGACTTATAATTCTTTTTCCCATTGGAAGTCCCTAAAATAAAATTCTACCTTTTGATCCCTCTCTCCAGCAAACAAGAAATATTTTTTTCCTAACTGCTCCCACTCAGAGACGTAATGACTTTCCTTCAGGCCAAAGCAGCTGAATGTGGCTCAAAACCATTCAGTGCCACTCCTTGCAACTGATCAGAGGTTCACAGCAGTATAGGACAAGACAACTGATTGCTGTCTGCTTTGGTTCTTAGGGCCTAAACTGGTCTCTTGCATGGCAGTTGTTGGCCTTCGATATTGTAGCTTGTGAACCATGGTGCTTTTTTTCATTTATGCTCTCACACTATCCACATCTTAAGTAAGAAAGCAGTCTTATCAGCTTTGTAGTAACTGGGTAAAACTTTAATCTGGATCTGATGTTACATTATATAAAAGAGAAGTAGAATGCACTGTCTTCTGTTTGCAAGAGGAGGAAGCAAAGATATGTTGCTGCAAGTGGCACTAACCAGATGGCGTGTAGCATTTATAGTAAGGGTCTGTCAATGTTGCTTTTATGAATCACTTTGCAGGGCTTTATAGCTAGTCCTGTTCAGATCAAATATGGTGAAACTGCTTGGCGCACAAGTTAGAGAGACAAAGTGGGTGAAGTAATATCTTTTATTGGACCAACTTTGTCGGTTGGTGAGAGAGACAACTTGGGTCTGACACGGCTATAACTACACTGCATACAACATGGCGCACAAATTGTCAGCTCAAATGCATCAGTGATTTAGATAATGGTATAGAGAGTACACTTATAAAGTTTGCAGACGATACCAAGCTGGGAGGGGTTGCAAGTGCTTTGGACGATAGAATTAAAATTCAAAATGATCTGGAGAAATGGTCTGGAGTAAATAGGATGAGATTCAATAAGAACAAATACAGAGTACTCCATTTAGGAAGGAACAATCAGTTGCACACATACAAAATGGGAAATGACTGCCTAGGAAGGAGTACTGCGGAAAGGGATCTGGGGGTCATAGTAGACCATAAGCTAAATATAAGTCAACAGTGTAACACTGTTGCAAAAAAACCTAAAAGCGAACATCATTCTGGGATGTATTAGCAGGAGTGTTGTAAGCAAGACACGAGAAGTAATTCTTCCACTCTACTCTGTGCTGATTAGGCCTCAACTGGAGTATTGTATCCAGTTCTGAGCACCACATTTCAGGAAGGATGTGGACAAATTGGAGAAAGTCCAGCGAAGAGCAACAAAAATGATTAAAGGTTTAGAAAACATGACCTATGAGGAAAGATTAAAAAAATTGGGTTTTAGTCTGGAAAAGAGAGGACTGAGAGGGGACATAAAAGTTTTCAAGTACATAAAAGGTTGTTACAAGGAGGAGGGAGAAAAATTTTTCTTAACTTCTGAGGATAGGACAAGAAGCAATGGACTTAAATTGCAGCAAGGGAGGTTTAGATTAGGAAAAACTTCCTAACTGTCAGGGTGATTAAGCACTGGAATAAATTGGCTGGGAATGGTGAACCGCAGCCACTGGGAGCTGCGGATGGTCTTACCTGCGGGCAGTCAATGTAAACAGTGTCTCGCGGCCCACCAACGGATTACCCTGATGAGCCGCATGTTGCCCACTGCTGGTCTAGATAATACTTAGTCCTGCCATGAGTGCACGGGACTGGACTAGATGACCTCTCAAGGTCCCTTCCAGTCCTATGATTCTATGATATCTGGAATTTTTTTAATGAACGAGAAAAACAATGTAGTGTCTTTTGGATGATGATTCTGTATAGTTCTAGCATTCCTCCTTTCTCCACTACTGTAAAAGTAATTGAGTTAATAGGATCACCTCGCATCCCTTTGTGTGAAGTCATTGTAGCACATACAGCTGTTCAGGAACTGCCTGCTCCACAACAGGTAAGAGAGAAATAGTGTGTCATTCTTCACTTGGAATTTCATTGTTTTTATGAGATGCAATCTAGATCCAAAGATGAGGAAATCCATGCCTTTAAGAATGTTCTATGAATTTTAATGGAGTCTCATTTTTAAATGATTTTTTTAATTTAGCAAACAAACTTTAGCTATTTTGATTGTAAAGATAAAGATTGCTGTCTGTGGAGGTGGAATGAACCTTCAGTTTTTCCCTTCTGGAGAGTTTTTATTGTAAATTTTCTCATGCAGATTGATCCTGCAGTACCTTAATACCTCTAAGGCTATGTCTACACTACCACTTATGTTGGTATAACTTACGTCACTCAGGCTGTGAATAAGCCATCCCCCTGAATTGGGAGATGTCTTTAGCCATTGTGAAGATTCCAAATGGCGGACTACATATGGAATCAGGTGAAAACTGTATTTCCAGGAGTGAGTGTTTTACTGAAGAATTCCAAATTAAAACAGCGAGGTAGTTAAGCAAATATTTATCTCTAGTTTAGAGAGTTCTGTGAAATGCTTTTATTTAGACTTCCTTTAATTGCCATTTCCCAGAAACCAATCCAGTAAGACCTACCTTTCCATAGTGGATTCTGATAATATTAAATTAATATAAATATAGTGACATTAATGTCAGTTTGAAAATGAATGGTGTAGTTTAAATTGACATTCATGATGGATTAGCTTTTCTCAATATAAGTAACTTCTCTTATTTAGTTTCAGATTTGTTAGTCTCTAAGGTGCCACAAGTACTCCTCATTGTTTTTTCTCCTAGTTTGTGTTTTCTTAGTTGTGTTTAGAATAGCCTTTTGTAGCTACTCTGAGTAGTTTATTGTCATGGTTCAGTTTATTAAGTGGTAGAGGGAGAAGGGATAGGATTTGTTAACCTTAGTTTGATTCAAAATTTGATGTCCATCTGAGCTTAATTAGATGGAAGGCTAGAGGGAAGAATTTGTGTATATTTACATAACTGGTCTAATGCCACCAGGAAAGAGAGAGAATGATTTCTGCTTATAAAGTGAGAGAAAATCATTTTTTTTTTAATAACCCAAACATGTTTGTTTTGTTTAATGGCATTTCTGCTTTAGCAAGACTACTTAATGGAAATGGTCTTCTGGAAATGCTACTCTTTTATAACTGTAGGAGACAGTTTTCTATTTGCTGAATTGTTCATTCTCCTGCGAGTGGAGTCCAGAAGTGCTCCTTTGCTTTACATCTGTGCTGAAGAAAAAGGAAAGTGGAACTTTAGAGTGCTCTTTCTATACCAGGACAAGTAGAAAGCTGGCTCTGTTGCCTCTCTTTTTCCATCAGTTTTGTTCTCCAACTCCAATCAAAATAACACAGCAATTTTAAGTCATTTTTTAGCTAAGAACATGTAGACTGAGTTAAGAACATAAGAAAGGCCGTATCGGGTCAGACCAAAGGTCTATCTAGCCCAGTATCCTGTCTACCGACAGTGGCCAATGCCAGGTGCCCCAGAGGGAGTGAACCTAACAGGCAATGATCAAGTGATCTCTTTCCTGCCATCCATCTCCTCCCTCTGATAGACAGAGGCTAAGGACACCATTCCCTACCTGTCCTGGCTAATAGCCATTAATGGACTTAGCCACAATGAATTTATCCAGTTCTCTTTTAAACTCTGTTATAGTCCTAGCCTTCACAACCTCCTCAGGTAAGGAGTTCCACAAATTGACTGTGCGCTGCGTGAAGAATTTCCTTTTATTTGTTTTAAACCTGCTGCCTATGAATTTCATTTGATGACCCCTAGTTCTTGTATTATGGGAATTAGTAAATAACTTTTCCTTATCCACTTTCTCCACATCACTAATATGTGTGTGTGTGTGTGTATATATATATATTTATATTTTAAATATATTTTCTTTTTAATTCGTCACCTTCAGAGAAAACATTTTTAGTTGTTGAAAGTTCAGCTACTACATCTGGAATCCACATAGGTGGGCCCTTATGCCCAGGCAGAAGCCCACCAACTTCACTTGGACTTGGCATTGGGCATAAGGCAGTGTTTTTCAAACCGTGGGTCACGACCCACTACTGGATTGTGGCATGTGAAGCGCTGGGTCGCCTTGCTCTGTTCAGCACCGCCGACCGGGATGTTAAAAGTCCCATCGGTGGTGCTGCCCAGCTAAGGCAGGCTAGTGCCTATCTTTACCGACA